AAGAGGTGAGCGATGTGTCTGCATGGCATATTTCGTGGTTCTTCCATGCTGCACGTTTCGCAAATATTCTTTTAGCCGTAGATATAACAAAATTTACCACGAATGGTGTTTTTAAAAGGCGTGATAGAAATGGATACTGTATTTAATTGGAAATAAAAAGTTCCTATAAAAGAGCTAATAATATCACATCTAATTCTCCAAAAGGCATTTCTCGTTTTGACATTTTGTGTAAAAATTTTCGTTTTGGCATTTTGCGTCGAAATCTTTAATTGTCGGTTCACTATTCAAATAGGGGGGGGGGGGGGGGGGGGGGGGGGGGGGGGGGGGGGGGGGGGGGGGGGGGGTGTTGCCATCGAATATTAGCGCCCTGTGTTATATTTAAAGAAATTAAATATGAAAAATCTGCATAAATGTTTGTATGGTTCTCACACAGTGATTAAACAACGGTATCTAGAGCCATCGAATTCTGAATAACGTAATTTTTCACCCAATATGGGCATTTGGAAGCCCTAATTTAAAATTTGAAATTCGTTTTATTATCGATTTCAGATTTTGCAACATTTCAACAAATTTTTGATTAACAAACTCAACGATTTCAAAGCGATCAATGGCAAAACTGTACGAAAAAAAAAAAAAAAAAAAAAAAAAAAAAAAAAAAAAAATCTCCAGCGCGCCAGCCTGTGTATCGGAATGTCTAAACATAAGCTCATTTTAAAATTATTTTCCAATATTGCTGTCGAATTGAATTTTATGGTTTAAGTGCGAAGAACATGATATTTAATAAGTAAAGGTAACACACGAAAGGTAAAAAAAAGTCCCTTTGGGCTTAACGTAAATCTGAAATCTTTCAGATTTTATTATTATTATTATTCAGTATTTCTATTTATAAATTGAAAAATAATCATTGTAAAATGTAGTGGTTGTACTAAAGGTTCTGAGTTTTTTTTTAGATGGTACGCGTTAGTCAAAAGGTTCAGAACCGCTGCTTTAAAAAGTTACTTTACTTCATAAATGGGTGCAATATTTTATATTTAATTTCTTATCCGACATGTTTGTGGCATCGCCTTTTGTCGAGAGATAAATTACTTAAAATAACTGAAGTTCTAAGATACCGGCAGGCCAAATGATTCATTAATACATCGTTTTAATTGTAAATGTGTTCTAAAAATATTGATTTCTGGAGCAATGATCGATGAATCGGCTACTAGTGCCACTGGAAAATTTCAGTATCGATTTCGGCCTCGAAACTTCTGCAGGCGTAACTCTTACTTCGTCTTCTCGCTTCTAAATGAATTCCGCAACATTCGACGACCCCTCCGTCTCGTAATGAAGGAATTAGTATGGGCGAGCGGCCGGCGGCGAAATGACCGAGGCACTCGCGATAACTGCCTTGGCGGACAACGTGTTCCGCATCCACACGGGATATTTCCCTCCCCTTCTCCTCTCCTCTTTGTTTTTGTTTATTTTTTCAGATCATTTCTATTTTCCTTCTTTCCGATTTTACCCGGTGAGAAAAGCGCGTGCACTTGGGTGCCGCACGTAGCGGAACGTTGAAAATTCAACAAATTTGCATTCTCTAGTTTCTTGTTATGCCAGAAAAAAATATTTTTGAGGATGAATTCAAGTGCTTGTCAATATTCAATAAGTTTCGATATTAAGAATTTCACAGGTACAAGTACAGGTCACTTGTACTACAAGTACTACAAGTACAGGTACTACAAGTACTACAAGTACAGGTACTAGGCCAGAACCTCCGTAGTACCACAGGTAATTGAGGTATTGCTGAACCTAGCTAACTGTTAAACTTTCCACCCCAATTTTGAGGGAGAACACCCCGGGGTGTGGTCCGAGGTTCTCCCGCCCCTCTTTTTTTTTACCATCAACCACTTGAGAGGACTTTCTGAGATAACTGAGTTCTGATATTAACAGTGTACACAAATCATACTGAGAAAAGTTCAAAAAATGATGCTTCCAAAAGCATAAATGTAAGAATAAATGTCTTTTCTAAGGCGGAAGGTGTAATAAGCAAGTCTTTGGAGCTCCCGTCCATCAGCATTGCGTAGATAAATGAAACTGTTGAAACATTAAAATGAAATAAAAAAAATAAAAAATAATAATAAAAAAAATAAAATAATAATGAAAATAAAAAAAATTAAAATATATAAATAAAATAAAATAAAATAATAAAAAAGACAAATATGGTATAGTAACATATGGAGATGAATAAGCATTAGATATGACAAATATCCAGTCCGAGTCTTTGGATATGTATAAGAACGTCTCTGATTTTGGCCTTAAGGTGTCTGTTCTTTATTGCATATTTCTTAAATGGTATTAGATTGTTGTTAGGCTTGATCAGATGTTTGCCGTCTGTTAGATTACAGTCAAAAATGTAATGATCAGGGTCACCCCTTTCGCCACATATGCAGAGATCCGTGGGGCACATGCCTCTGTCATGGAAGTAGGTGGGGAAAGGACCGTGCCCTGTGATATACTGATTCAGAACATGGTCATAGTGTAGTGCCTCTTTGTCAGTTTTTGAGAAAAAATTGTGGACTCTTCTGCCTTGCAATGCAGAATCCCACTCTTCTTGCCACTTTGAGTCGACAATTGCATTCAGTGTAAATTTTAAATGAGACTTGGGCCACGGGACATGAATTACCTCACTGTTGATGTTAGTCGTTGCATCCTTTGCAAGGAGGTCAGCTGCCTCGTTGCCGTCGTTTCCGTTGTGGGCTTTCACCCAATAGAGATAAACTGGATTTCTGGGTGGGCACTGATTGTATTTTGAATATCCTGAACCAGTTGGTTCTTATTGTTTCTGTCCTTCAGGGCATATAATGCAGATTGACTGTCTGAATAGATAGCTATTGTCCTGAAATTATTTAATATAGGTTTATTTACTGCCGATTGAATTGCTGACAGCTCAGCTTGATAAACGGAATTTTCTGGAGATAATTTTCCTTGCCATATTGAATTGAGGAAGAAGAATAGATTATTGATGCTGCGCCCATTTCTCCATGAATTTTAGAGCCGTGTGTAAATGCTCTTGGACATTCTTTACTACTGATTGCTGAAGTGTCCGTATTAATAATTAAATTACAATACTTTGCAGGATGGTAGGTCAATGGTATGGCTGGAGACTCATACTTTGAGGGAGAAAAGGTGGTGCCGTTCAGGTAAGCATCTTCTTTCAACTGGAGTACTCTGGCTTTTATTGAATCCTTCGCCGCAATTAAATGAAGGGGAGGAATCCCAGTAAGAACGCATAGAGAGGAATTAGCTGTCGTCGTTAGGCTTTGCAAATGCTCAGGAGAAAAGGTCTCTGAATGGCGAAAAGTTTCCTTTTCCTTCCTTTCTGTCATAGTCTCCGCCCAGATTGCAGCCCCATAATTCACTATACTTGAAATTACTGTTATAAATAAAAATTTTTTGAATATGAGGACGAAGTCCCCAGTTACTACCTGCCTTGCATTTTTCTGAAATTATAAGCGATTTGATTTGTCTTTTTCTGAGTCTCCGTGAGATGGTACATAAAATTAAGTTGGTTATCTATGTGGATACCCAGAAACTTCAGGTAATCTTAATTTTCTTTCCGTCCAGGGTGAAGGTGGGCTTTCTTAAGAGCTTTTGGCCTGGCTTGTTAAAAAGTATAGCCTTGGACTTCACTTGCGAAATGCAGAGTTTCAACCTCTGGCATTCTATGTTAAGCTGTTTGAGAGAACCGTTCACATTCCTTTCGAGGATGTCTCTAGTCCTACCACTAACAACCAACGCAGTGTCATCCGCAAACGCGAAGATCTTCGTATGATCGGGAAATTCATATTTTAAGACGTCATTAAAGGTGAGGGCCCAGAAATCAGCACTCAAGCAGGATCCTTGGGGACATCCTCTAGTAAATGTTTTGCTGGTTATCATGTTGTTATGAATGAATATGCTTTCTCTATTATGAAAGTAATGTAATGAGAATATTGAGAAGATTAGAGGGACAGTTGGCTTTATTAAGTGCATGTAATACTGAAGGCCACCATATTGAGTCGAAGGCACTTTTTAAATCAACACAAATAAGTGCACTATGTTCACCTTTTGATTTATTATGTTGGATTTGCTTCAGTATTTTATCAATTGCATGAATAGTGCTTGAGTTGGCTTTGAATCCGTATTGGTGTTTTACTGATTGTTTGATTTTTGATAAAGTGATATCTCAACCGTCCCGGCAATAAGTCTTTCTAGAACTTTTCCTATGGCGGGCAGCAAATTTATTGGCCGAAATGCAGATCGAAAAGTATAATTTGTCCTTTCTTCATGTTATCGGGAAAGGTCGACAATTCTAAGCATTTATTGAAGAAATTAAGAAGGATTCTTGGGTCATGATTGTGCATAATTTTTAGAATTTTGTTGTTTATAGAGTCGGGGCCCGGGGCTTTCTTATTGTTGAGGTGCTTGATAATATTATTAATTTCTTGTAGAGTGAAGGGGGAGTCTTTTGAGCCATTCTGTGAGAAATTGGAAAGTCTAATCTCTCTCTGCTCGGGTGTGTCATCTTCTGAATTGTCATCCATGAAGATAGCGTCAAGGATTTTGGTTGCTGCTTCTTGCGATAGAATCTGGGAATCAGGAATACTCTTGTTGTTGCTTGCGTGATCTTTGTTGGGAAAGCGTAATTTTTGTGGGAACGAAAGAATTTCCTAGTTGCCAATTTATGGAGGATGCCATACGTATCTTTATTTTGAGAACAAAATTTTTTCCACGAGGTTAATTTAGCTTCCATAATTTTCTTTTTGTAAATCCTTCTTTGCTCGTTGTATCTTACGCATGCAGCATTCCTAGAATTGTCGTCCAGTGTAGATTTTATTTTCCTCCTTAAGGCTTTAGTTTTGTTCCTCTCTGCCCTCAACTCTTTTGTCCACCAATTTGCAGTGAATTTATTTCTTGGAGCTCTAATTTTAAAGCTCTGTTGGGATATTCTTTGTATGACTGAGAAAAAGTTACTGGAGATTTCATTTAATTGGTTGCGATCCCTGCAGTAGTTTATGCCGTTCAAAATGGAAGTTTTTTTCTTTAGCAAGGAGGTTTTTAAATTTCTTGATGCCAGATTCAGTTATGTGAAAACGTTTCGTGCTGGTACTAGAAAAAGTGAGATCAATCTCAAAGTGAATGAACTTATGATCCGAATTATTTTCCTCGTCCAGTATCTTCCAGTTTTTAAGAAAGGTGCTGGCATTTGTGCTTGAAAGGGTCAGGTCAGGCCATCCTTTACCTGAGCATGTTTCGAAGGTAGGCCCTTGTACGGTGTCGTTGTGAAGGACGAGAGAGTTGGCAGCTATGAAATCTTCTACTTGTTCGCCTCTAGAATCTGATTTTGGATATCCCCATTGCACGCAGTGGGCATTCATATCCCCACCGATAAAGTGATGTGCAGTCGGAGCACTCTGAATTATATTGTCAAGGTGTATAAGATTTCTTTCAATTTCTTCTGCGGGCGAACAGTAGCAAGAAGAAATGCATAGTTGTACTGTACCTGAATTAATTGAGATAGATATAATGTCTCTATCAATTTTGCATACAGTAGGGTCTAGTTGTTTGCTCGTTACGACAATGCATGCTCTGGGGTTTTGTTTCTGGACTGGAAAATCTTTGCTTAAGTTTTTATATAAAATATTCCATGATAATGGAAACCCTCTTATCTCTCCTTTCACGCTGTATGGCTCCTGGATTAGTAAGATATCGTAATCGGATTCTGAGACGAACTGCACAAGTGAAGATGTGGCTTCCTTGCATCTCCTAAGATTACACTGAAGGCAGTTAAGGTTCTTGAGAATCTGTGAAGTTTTGATTAGCATTGAAGGATTTGTGGAAAATGAGGCATCCATAAAAATACTTTGCAATATGAAAAATGAGAAAAAGAGAAGAGTAACTAGGTAAATCAAAGGCTAAATTGCGTTGATGAATCGAAATGAAGTATAATTTAGACTATTTGATAATTTGTGATAGCTTTAATTTTTTTTCGGTTTCTCTCTTGTACAGAGGGCACTGAGGTGCATATGCTGCATGCTTGTAATTAATGTTTTGTGCCATTTTGCGTTGTTGTACAATCTGCAGTTTATGCAGTTAGGTATCTCGGCTCTGCAATCTTTTATTGAGTGATTGCCTCCACACAGAATGCACAATATAGATTTAAATTTGCACTTCTACTGAGAATACGTAAAGTCTTGACAGTGGAAGTATCGTTTGATGCCAAAGAACTCTGCAATAGGAAGAAAATTCCAGTTATAAGTAATATTCCTGTGTTCCGTGCATGTGTTAAAGGTTGAAGAATTACATTCAAAAATCCATTTTACAGTATTAGGAAGTCTTTCTTTTACCTTAAAGAGAGCAGAGATCCCTTCTTTTTTAGTGTTGATCTGATCAACAAGTTCTTCTATTATGAGTTCTGGAGGAGTATCTTTAGGAATATTATTAATAGATACTTTGGGCGATCTTGAATTTGGAGTCTTAATATCAAAGAGGGATTTAGCATCCGCTGTATCGTTCAATGCATGTGACACCTTCTTTAGCTCCTCTTCAGAATTACATCAGATGGCAATTCCTCCATTTTTAATCGGAGCGATCTTGTTTATTTTTGCTTTAATGTTTTTTAAGGGACTAAGAATTTCACAGCTTAATGTTTTAATTTTTAGCACCTCGTTAGGTTTATAAGCGCCTTCTTAGCGTGCCTTCGTGGTGTTGTGGTCCGCACGCTGGGCGCGCATTCCAGAAATCCGCGGTTCGATTCCCGGCAAAGACGTTGCTCATTTTTCAATGATTCTTGCTTCCAAATAACCTAATAGCTCTACAGGTTACGTTACGCTACGGCGGCATTTATCACCTATGCGGCTTGGAAAGTATATGCGATTCCGTGAAGGTGATCATCCATGATCTTTAAATTAATCACACTCGCGGCATTGCCAGTTACAAATTCTCAGAAATGCTTCCATTTGATATGCCATAAAATCTGACATTTACCTTTGAAATCAAGATAAAAAAAAAAAATTATTCGGATTTTAATTATGGCCTGGTAGCTAAAAATGATTCACTTTTAAATTTATAGATTTAATCTTTCATTGTTACCAACCACATGATTTTTAGTCATTTCAAACCAGATATTTAAACGACTTGCCCGTAGCCTTACGCCTTCAGATAGATCGTAAGACCGTGAAAATATAAAGTCACGCTTATTTCATTGCTATTTGATTATTAGGAGGAATAATTTACCTGCATACAAAAACGGTAATTTTTTTATTTACTATTTTCTATGATATTTGTACTAAATTAAAAGTATAAAATAAAATGCATACGAAAACATATAATATTATATAGCTTTCATTAATAATGAAAGATTTAAAAACATTATTTTAGTCAACGCATTTTTTTGGATAGATGGGTGGATGGGATGGGATGGAACATGATGAATTTTTCTCTACTACAGCAACAAATCTGCAATTTCTATAACGCCTATGATTTTTTAAATTAAGGATTGTAGAGACATTAGGATTTTTTGAAGCAGGAGAGATGAAAAATGAACAACGCCTTCGCCGGGAATCGAACCACGGTTTCTGGAATACGCGCCCAGGGTGCTGACCACTACACTACGAAGTCGGGAGAAATACCTTATAGGATAACTAAGGATATTGTAATAATTCATGTAATTAATACTATATAAATTATATAGGTCAGGTTATAATATCCTTCAGAGTTAAAATTCAAGTTAAGAAAAGTGGTAGGAGAATTCTGCGAAATTTCAGCATCTTAATAAATCACTGGCTGGAATAAACACAACTGGAACAATTCAACTGCTGGTTTTTGCCGATGATATTTATATCATTGCGCGATCAAAACGAGCTGTGGTCGAGGCATTTGTCTCTCTTGAAAATGCAGCAAGGAAGATGGACCTCATCATAAATGAAAACAAAACTAAATTTATGATTGCATCTAATAAAACTGTTCATTTATCCTCCCTTGAAGAGTTTGTTTATACCATTAAAATCGTAAAACAGTTTAAATGTCTGGGCACATTTGATCACAAGTTGCAAAGATATAAAAATTGAAATAAAAAATAGAATATTTATGGCTAAATAGATGTTATTACGGTCTTAAACAACAACTTAAATCCAAACATAAAAACTAAATTAAATTTATATAAAACTTTAGTAAGACTTGCTGTCCTTTACGAAAGTGAATGTTGGATACTTAATAGAGCAGAGAAAAACTTGATGTCAACTTTTGAAAGGAAAATCTTAAGAAAGATCTTTGGGCCGGTACAACAAAATGGCATGTGGAGCATTTTCTATAATCATGAACTAAATTATATAATTATACACTAACTAATTATATAATATATAATTAGAACTAAATTATATAATATCTTCTATAATCATGAACATGGAAAATATTGGAAATATTGCGAAACTGACATTGTGAGAATCGTAAAGGCATCTCGTACCAGAGGACGACCACCCACTAGCAGGATAGACGATATCTGGTCTACATAAGGGGAAGAATGTCTTCGTTGGAGGGCTTTCTAAGAGAAACAAACTGGCTCGAATAAACGTTACACATAGAGAAAACGGCATGCAGCCAGCCCGTTCGTAGTGATTCGAATCCCGGGCCGAACTACCAGTGTTCGCGATTTTACCGCTTGACCGCTGGTGGACTCTAATAAGGTATTACTGTTATCTAAATGTTCTAAACTCAAAGGGAGAGAATAATCAAAATGAAATAATACGACTTCGCAGAATAGCAGTCAATCGTGTTCAAATTTTGGTTTATTACATCTTGTTAGTTACATTACAATGTAAGTCCATTTATCATGCATGCTTTCCGGTAATAAATTCAATGTAAAATATCTGACGTGGACATCGCATGATTTTTTTGTACAGCCTGTTAAATTATACATACTTTTTTTTGCTGCATTTCATTTATGTGTGTGTGTGTGTATTTAATTATGGCAAAGCTCACTAGGGCTATCTGCCTAAGGGGGAGGGATGCCTTTGTGGAGGACTTTCTAAGGGAAACTGGCTCGTATACACGTTACACATGGGGAAAACCACGAAAACACCCATGCAGCCAGCCCGTTCGCGGGATTAGAACCTCGGACCGAACTACCAGTGTTCAGCTACGTTACCGCTCGGCCGCTGGTGGGCCTCTGCATTTCATTTAAACTTATATCTTCGAATTTCATTACAGATATATTTATTATTCAATTAATTCAGTTCTCAGTTCGAGGCAAGGCATAAAATACATGAATCGCAAAGTACCTTCATTAAAAAATTGTAAAATACAGCATAAAGTGATACCAAATACAGTTAGAAATAATTTAAAAAAACAGTTTTTACAATAAAAATGAGAGTTTTCTGCGGAAAATCAAGGAATTCTGTCAGCGGGCAGGAAAACAAGATATTCGGTGCACAAAATTCAATGTTAACTTTTTGTCCCACTTAGTAGAAGACTCTGATGCACCAAGTGATTTAATTCAGTATTCTACTAACAGTTTCAAATGTAAATAAATGGCAGCCTCGTTAAGCCTAGCGCCGCTTAAGCCTTTAAACTGTTGATTGTTCTACAACGTTTGCATGCAGATGAACTAAAGGCATAAAAACCTTAACCCGAACATAAGAACAATATAATTCAATCACTTTTAAAATAGAAAATCCAAAATGTTTTCAGAATAATATATGTTTGGCGCGACCGTTTGCAACCAAAAAGAGAGGTGCACAACTATATAGCTGTTCTATATACTAAATTTAAACGTTCTGAGGCTACTCGTTTCTGAATTATGCGAGATAAGTATATACATATAAAATTTCTTCTGAAGCCATTTTAAATCTATTTTATCATCCGTTTTCGAAAAAGGAGTTCTTTATTCTGTCAGTAAGGCAAAAACATCGTTTAAATGGATTCGAGAGCGGTCAAAATGAATATTTTTGTTGAAATACGAGATCGGAAAATTTTCACGATTGCAGTATTTCCTTTACTTCGTACAAGTGGAAAGAAATATATACAGTAAAACTTCTTACAGCAACAACTTCCCAAAGACAGCCATTTTTGAAAACCTTTGAAAGTAGCGAGTAAATAAAAAAATACTCTGAATTCTCTCAACAGTTATGTTCTTTAACATGACTATGTCGTAAGAAAAATTAAAATCAGCTAGTGGCCGTTTAATGGATATTTCATCATATATCAATCAGCGAATGTAACTATTAATATGCAGCATGCATTTACAGATATTAAAGAGACATCTTTGCCTCTGAAGGATCAATAATTACTATCTGCCCTAAAAAGTTTTATTTAAATTCACACTTACCTATTGTGCGGTAAGCTTAATTCATATAGCTCATTCTTAAATCCTAATCTACAGAGGGAATGGATGGTATGGCGGCTTAAATGTAATTATGTTTGCGTGTTCTACAGAGGAGTCTTACACATTTTTGTAACGATTTTTATTTTCTCCATCAATTTAAATATTAATTTTAAAATATAAACCCGACTAACATCAAACAGGAATAAGGTTTAATTATCGTCTGCGGCATTAAAAATGTACTTTTCTTTCAAATGTCGCCCAAAAATGATCAAAGCTATATTTTCGCGCCGTCCGAAGAGAAATACTCTCATTCAATTATAAAAAAAAAAGATGTGAAAAGCATAGTTTTAATGTTTCTACAAATAAGCAACATAATACGAAAGGAAAGAAACGTCAGAGTTTACATCTGACTGAGAAAAAATTCAAAAAATGCATACCCAACAAAGCTACGTACAGCTCTTATTAAATCTAAAGTCACATCTCATGGTTTAAAGGAAAATCCAGCCCCTCCAGAGAACTACTGCAAAATCTTTA